ACTCAATAATATTTGATCAAGTATAACAGATAGTAAATGAGAATAAAAATAAAATTAATTTTTGTATATTAAATATTAATATATAACAACAATAAAGGGACAAAAAATATTTAAAATTTTTCTCTTACATATTTATGAGAATGTAAGAAGAAAATTATTGATAATTTTTAATTTATTACTCAGTGACTAACAATACTAACAAAAACAATAAAAAAAAAATAAATAAAAACATTGACAAACGTGATATAACATGAATATAGTAAGTTCAACAAAAAGCGAATGTAACAAATACAAAAATATTAATACTTATAGTATAATTACTATTATTACTATAAATATGAAAATAATAATAATAATTATTATTATTATACTCATTATTCTTATGTTATAATATTAATAATTTATTACTCGGTGGTATAAATTAAATAGCTTAATTATTATTATTATTTTATTAAATTTAATGATTTTTCCCGCCTATATTATTATTATTTTTATTGTTATTATTATTATTTCAGATTTAATTTATGGGGAACCTGTCGTTAAAAAAAATTTTTTCCAAAATATGATTGAAATAGTTTTGAGAAAGGTATTCATTCAATAAGGATACTTAAACGCACTTCGATAACAAAGGCTTTTCATATATAAGATTTCGAGGAACTTGCACCATACGAGAGTGACTCAATTCCACGAATTCCATCTGACGTTGAATGTATTTTAATTCAAACACGATCCTGCACTTTACCATGCTTGTTGCAGTTTAAACTCCGACCATGACATTTTCTTTACTCGCGGATTTACAACTTGCATTGCGTACACATAATTATTTTATAAATAAAATACACGAAATGCACTTTTCTCCTTTTTCCCCTTCAACTTTTAAATTTACCGCAATTTTTTCGCTTTTAATTTTTTTATATAGTTAAATGATGAAAAAAAGGGTAAAACATTTCTTTATCACTATTATTTATTAACATAAGTTTAATAAAAATTCTATATAATATAATATAATATAATATAATATAATATAATATAATATAATATAATATAATATAATATAATATAATATAATATAATATAATATAATATAATATAATACACATGTAAAGTTTACATTTAATTATAACAATATATATGTGACAATTAAATAACTTTAACTTTTAATTATTTAATTTCAATTTTATTATTATTAATTGTTTAATTATCGAATTTTTTAAAAACACATAATTAAAATTAAATAAAAGCACTTAAAATCTCGTTTGGCCTAATGGTATAATATTTTTATTTTAGCCATATTAGGCGAAGCAGTATTTTAAGATCTTTTATTTAGTTATTAATTTTTGAAGTATACTTCCCTTGTTTTTATTTAAAAAAGGAAATAAAGAAATGTTGAAACAAAAGAATGTCTTACCTTGAGAGTGATTTATAATTTTGTTTTATAAACTACTTTCCCGCACTTTCAATTGAACTCAAACTGGCAAAATCACTAAAAATTCACTAAAATATTTTGCAAAAGAAAAATAATTATGAGAGAAATTTTCAAAAAATGAAAAAAAACATGATTCATCACCTGTTGCGCGTGAAATACACCACGAGATCGCGAGGGAAACTGAAAACATATCATGCATATCACTAAGGCACTGGCGACATCTCTTTCCTCGAACTATTTGATACTTTCTAGAAATTTGTCGGTAATATTTTTAATTTATTAAATTTACTTTTATTAGAATTGAAAATTTAATTTGTTTGAGTTTTTTAAATTTAAATTTAAAATATTACTTTGTTAAAGTGAAAGTTTTTTTGTTTTTCATTTGAAGGTAATTTATCAACTGTTAAAGCAGTTTCAGAGATCTATTCTACCAACAAGAGTTAAACAAAAAATTATTGATAAAATAAAATAAAGTTTCGTTTCTTAGTAAATATTTATTTATCCTATAAACAATGTAAAAATAATATTTTCTGGAACTGAATAAATTTATTTTTATAGAAATTAATAATTTTTTTATAATTAAATTATACATTTATTTTATAAAAATTGTAAATTATATATTAATTACTTATATTACCAATTAAAATAAGTACCTATATTATTTTGATATTAATTACACAGGCCGACAAAATTTCATCAATTGCATGTTGCCTAAAATGTTATTGCCGATTCTTATAGGATTTTGTCCGTAGAATCCAAATTTGACCTTGAAAATATTGGATTGGCTCTAGTTTTTTATCAACTTACGTTTCAATACGCAAAATACGCATTTTTGGCATTTTTTGAATGAATGTAAAACCAAATACTGAAACAGTAAATTTGTCCGCATAGGACCAAATTAAAGCTTAAATACTGCTCTTTAATATCCAAAAACAAAAAATTTAATTTATTTACAATTTAACCTTTAATGTCCAATGGGACATACGCTGTTCCATAAACGTATTGAAAATAACATTACTTTTGACCAGGTAAGGCAATTTAAGTAAAAATTAGTCTCTCTGAAGGTTTTTGTGGTCGCTGCTTATAAATCTGCTATGAAATATAAAAATTAAAAATTTCGGACTAATTTTTAAAAATAGTTTACACCTTTATGATAAAAATGCCAAATAAAAAAAAAATTCGCCATATTAAATCCGACATTTTGAATATTAAAATCTGAATACGGATTTCTAAGCAGCGACTACAAATACCCCCAGAGAGACAAATTTTTACTTAAATTGTCTTACCTGGTCAAAAGTAATGTTATTTTCAATACGTTTATGAAACAGCGTATGTTCCATTGGACATTAAAGGTTAAAGTGTATATAAATTAAATTTTTTGTTTTTGGATATTAAAGAGCAGTATTTAAGCTGTAATTTGGCCCTATGCAGACAGATTTACTGTTTCGGTATTTGGTTTTACATTCATTCAAAAAATGCCAAAAATGCGTATTTTGCGTATTGAAACGTAAATTGTTTGAAAACTAGAGCCAATCCAATATTTTCAAGGTCAAATTCGGCTTCTACGGACAAAATCCTATAAGAATTGGCTTCCATTGGTTGGGCAACAAAATTTTGTTGGCCTGTGTTATATTTACATTAAATTATTTATTTATATTAAATATCCTACTATTGTAATTTTATAAATTATATTAAAAATTAATTATATAATAAATAGTTAAAATTTAACAATAAGGACGTCTAGAAATTGTAAACTGAAGGAGAAAGTCAACAATATTGCTTTAATAAAATTTAAAGTCTTTAAAAAATGAAGAAAAAATTTTTATAAATTCTATTTGTCAATTGCAAATTTTAATTCAATTATTATTTTCTAGAATTTTTAACTAAAATTCTTCTCTAAATCAACTATTTTTAATAATTTTTAAAAAAGTTCTTTGAGAATTTTCAAATACATTTTTTTTGTTCAATTTTACGAAATTTCGATTATTCGGAAATTCTTTAAATAAATAATTAGAAAATAAAAACTTCAAATTATTTTAAAAAAATTAAATTCAACTTTTTCAAAAACATTAATTCTTTAGAATTTTTAGTTAAACGTGTGATAAATTATAATTTTACAAAATTTAATTTTGAAACCTTTTCAAAATTATTCAATTTATTATTTAAATACAAAAGTAAATAACTTATTGAATCATTGAATGTTTTTTAAAATTTAATTCTTATAAAGAATTTTATCAACAAATTTTTAAATAATTCAATTCTTTTGACGAATTTTAATCAAATTTTTAAGAATAATTACATTTTTCGATGAATTCGATTAAAATTGTACTAGGTATAAAAATAATTAAAATTTTACGAGCTTCAGGTATTATATTTTTGAAAATAATTAAATTCCTAAAACAAATTTATTATTTATAAAAATAATTGGATTCATAAAAAAAATTTATTATTTATGAAATTAATTGAATTATTGCGTAGAAATTTATAAAAGATTGGTTAATAATAGAATTCCTGCAAAACTTTTATTATTTATGAAAATAATTAAATGTTTGAGTACAATTTTATTAAATAATTGAATTCTTTTGGGAAATTTATTAAAATAGTATAGATATTAAAAATCATTGAAATGAGGAAATTTTTTGAAAATAATTGAATGTCCGCAATTATTAAAAACTTCTTCAAAATTCAATTTTTTAAATTGTTTTTAACTAAAATTTTTCTATTAATCCATTATTTTTAATAAAATTAATTAAATATATATTGACAAATTTATCTAATTTCAAGAAGAATTTTCGTTAGGTACTAACTTTTGCAAAAATCTAAATCTTTTAAAATTTCTAATTAAATTCATTAAAAATTGAAATTTTATAAAATTTTAAATTATAACCTTTTGAAGTTTATCTATTTATGAAAATTGTAAACGCAACTGTTTTAAAATTGAATTAATTTTGAAATATTTAAGTAATATCATTAACTATAAATAATTTATATAATAATTTTATGATAGTTCTTCAAGAATTAAGTTATTTAAAAAGATATTATTGTCAGAAATTGAAAAAATTGACACAAAAATAAAGAATTTTCTTATGAATATTCTAAAAATTAAATTTTTTTCAGAACTTTGAATAAAAATGTCTGACTTTCACTTGAATCATCTGTCTCAGAATATATGATTATTGTGAATATAATAGTAATAATCTATATTCTAATTCATATTTTAATTTTATAAAAAAAAATTTGAAATTAAAATTTTTAAATTCTATTTTTTTTAAATTAATAATTTTACTTAAAAAAGTACGTAAGAAGTTAGCCGCGCGCTTTAGTACCTAATTTAACAATAATAACTATATAGATAGTAAATAAATAATTAATATTAATTTAATGATAATAACAATAATGGTAAATAAATAATTAATAATTTAATAATAACAATAATAGTACAAAATAAATTATTTTCAATAATAAATTTAAAAACAAATTCTTTGCTCATAAACGAGATGAAATGGAAGACATAAGATTAAAATATGAATTATTAAAAAAAATTCGCTGGTAGAATAAAAAAATAGGAAAACACTTTTGTTTTAGTATTATTTTGACTTTATAAGTATAAACAAACATAAACAACATTTACAATATAATATATATAATATACAGTGAATTATTTTAAGTACACAATATTCCTGGTAACTTATTTGGTTGACACAATGCTCTCTCTTCTTTGGACGCGTTAACTTCGTATTGTCAGAGAGTTGTTGGTGTTGAGAGCATGACATTTAATAAACTGCACCTTACTTTCAATAAAATTGTATACATTTTTTTTTCTCTACAGTACAGTAAATCTCAATGCTATAATTTTTTTTTTGTTATTTATACATAAAAATCCTAAAAAAACAAAATGTTATACAAAATGCAATTAGGCTTTATGAAAGTCGTTTGACATTTTTTTTTTCAATCCCACAATTTTTCTTTTTGTTCTTATCAAAAATCTCTTGTATAATAATCGAAATTTTTCTTTTTTTTTTTTTTTGCTTTACAAAAGTGGGACATTTGTATATAGTTTTTTTTCGCTTAAAGTTTCACGTATTATAGTGTAAGAAACACATTGTTTGCTTGTGCAAATAATGTAAGTACCGTTTCCCAGAGAATATTTTCAGTCATTTTTTTTTTAAATTATCTTTTTGAAGACAATTTGTGCGTTAAAAATTCCGTTTGATCTTTTTTTTTTTTATTTAGTCTTTTTTTTTGAAAAAACATCTTTTCTTGAAAAAAATCTTTTTTTTGAAAAAACATCTTTTTTATTGAAAAAAATCTTTTTTGAAAAAATTTTTTTCTTTGTGCAAAAAAAAAAGAAAATTTACGCTGATATTTCAGTAGCAGCGCATTTTTCGAACATTGCATCGAGAACTTGGGAGAATTTGAGGTATCTCTCTTCTGGACCCACTGTAGCCCCCCTACTGCCCCATAAAAATTTTATATGAAATTCTGTACGAAAGGCATCAGCGAGTAATTCATCGCTTCGACAACCCTCTAAGGCTATTTCGGCATTTCTTCGAAAAAGGGGAAGGTTTTCGGTTAATTTCCGTGATGCCTCAAGATGAGCCCAAACAATTGAGAGGCCACAATCTGAAGCTGAATGTTCCCAGGGCGAAAGAATTGCCGCTGCTAGACCCGATGGCGATACTGTTCCTGTAAATTTTATTCATTTATTTTCATTTTTTTTAGAAAAGAAAATACTTTTTTTGATTTTTCATTAAAATTTCTTTTTTTACACTGAGAAAAATATTATTTCATTTAAATAAACGATTACTTTTCTATTATTAAATAAATATTAACGTAGGGCTCGAACCAGTGAAAGTATTTAAAAATAATGAAATTCCTGTGTAATTTTTATTTTTTTTAAAATTAATTAAAGGTTAAATGGTTAAAATTAATTAATAAAGTAAATAATTACATAATAATTAATTGATCAATGACAATATTGTTATTAAATGAAAACGGATGTCATTTAATGGAAGTTTGTTATTTAACAATGAATTGAGTAAATCTTGATTGAAAGTAAAATATTTTCTAGCTCATTGAAAGATGCTTGTAGCATTAAGACATAAAGCATTTGGCACCAGCAACTTTGAAATCAACAAAAATGTGTAGTCCATAAATAACTGCAAATACAGGTTTCAACAGCCTGCTTTCTTATCAGATATTATGCTTTCTGGGCAAAAGAAACGCAGCGTTTAATATAAATTACAAATTCCATTTTTTAACCAACACGAAAATATATGTTTAATCTTTATAATACTGAATCCAATTATCTTACTTATTTATTCTCATTATGATTGAAAACTTATATTTAGACTGTAGATTGTTATAATTAAAGGAAACAAAGTTTAATTAAAATTCACATAGATTTTTATTTTAATGTTTCTAATTTTTATCTTTAGTTTTTAAATTATGTTTTTCAATTAAAATTCACGCTTTTAATCTTAAAAGAATAGAGAATGTTGCAGGATTGACACAGGCCAGGGAAATGTCTAAATTTTTAAAAATATTTCAATCTTAAAGTTAAAAAAATGTTGAGGTTTTAAAAAGTTTTTCTAAAATTTTGAAGTATTAGGTTTTTAAAATATTTTAATTATACCTATTATTTGAAGATAATTGACTTTTTATACACAAGTAATTGAAATTTCCTAAAATTCTATTTAAAATAATTGAATTTTATAAAAAAAAATTTTGTAATTAATCAAGGGAAGTTTGTCACAGTAATTAATTTTTCCTTTTAAAATAAAGTTTTAAATAAAATTTTTGTTTAGGATTAACCTTCTCTTTAACTTTTTTCTTTATAGGGATCAGGAAAAGAGTCAAAATTATATCAGAAAATCAGGGAGAAACAAAATCAAATGTGTGGGAGACCTGACTGTTGAAAACTTTCAATTCTAAGCGTGGAATGTCTAGAAGCTGTGACGTAAATTGCAAATGGCGGAGTTTACCGTTCGTGCCTATTCGGGCATGCTCGTATCAGGCCGATGTTTCACGAGTCTGCACGAGCAGGTACGAACTACACAACTTCCCTATTTGCAATGCGACAGACAAAGATACAGATATATTTGTATTCTTTAATCTTTTCTATCTCATACTCTGCGTTTCTAAACAATTCCACGTTCGTTGTCCACAAATTATATCCGCAGGTTTAATATTTGAATATCAATGATCAATTTGAAAAAAACTCTAACAAAAATTATCAATTGTATATTCTAAATCATCTAATTACCTAAAACATCCTCGAGTCCTCGTTCACCCAACAGTGCAATAGGCAGTAAATGTGGAAGTGTTGTATTCGGTGCCTGGGGATTATTGCATTCGTTCATTGCCCTCAATGTAGGCCTTAATTTCGCCTCAAAACTAAAAGCCTCATCTGTATACTTTTGACGAAGTAAATGCCAAGTATTGGCTAATTTTTGAATTTGTGGTAAACAAAGACCCAGCATAATACTACAAAAACCATAGAGATTGCCGAGCGCTGTTTTTGTATCAATGGCAACTCTAATCCATTTACTGATTGTTGTTGCACGTTCAATTGCATTAGCCCCAGCCAATACTGTCACAGCCACTAATAATTTCATACACTCTGATCTTTCAATGAGATCTAATCTTGCCTGTCGTCCATGTGGCAATGTTGCTAATTCAAGTCCACTTAATCCACCGCGACTTCCCATTACAGTGTTTAAAGCAATCTCAAGGTCAATTCTGGTGAGGTGCGATGCAAGTACCCTCGGCGCCGAGTCATGCAACATTCCAGAAACGCCTCTCAGCGCCGTCGGGTCCAGAGGTCGATGCTCACCAGCCGGGAGCAACAGTGTCGTGAAACCCTCGAGGTCAAGAGCAGTTGCTATTTCCAGAGTCGGTGCCGCAACAACGAGTTGCTCTTCAGTTGAGAGTTCATACTCGCTTGTATTACCGTTAGCGCCTTCATTCACATTATAATGACTTCGTATGACAACGCCTTTTATTGGCGCCGATGATGTATTACTGCCGGAATTATTTTCGAATTCACTGTCACCGGAACCGTTACCACTGTCGCTGCCTGACGCCTGATAACCATGATGGTGATGATGATGATAGTGATGTAGATTGGGATGATGATGATGATGATTCGGTGTGTACGGTATACGAGGTGGCTTTGGCGGTGGGGTGGGTACTTTTTGATTTTGCTGATTCAATTGCTGCTGTTTCTGCTGGTTATGTTGCTGTAATTGCTGATTTTGTTGTTGTAACTGCTGATTTTGCTGTAACTGATGATTCTGCTGTAACTGATGATTCTGCTGCAACTGCTGATGATGATGATGATGATGATTCAATTGCTGATGGATCGACTGCTGTGATTGATGATTTGATTGCGACTGATTTGATTGTTGATGAATAAATTGTTGTGGATGTTGAATTGTTGGATCAGAAATGACCCTGGTGATTTTTTGTCGTCCCAATGATAGTGAACAGGAGGGTGATTGATTTTGTATCTGGGGTATTCGAGGTAAGGTGCTCGATTGTGTTGGTGTATTTTGAGTGTTTGAGAGTTTAGGATGATCGAGTGAGTGCTGTTGGGGTGTTAGGGAATGGCTTCGTTGTTGTTTTCTGGGTAGTCGTGGCGGAGAACTTGTCGAGAGGGAGGAGGAAGAGGAGGGACTAGAACAATGATTTCCAGGAGGAACACAAATTATAGGAACGGATCTTGGTCTTGGATTTATAATTCTTGCACCACTTGCTTGACTTATTGGCCTACCACTACCAACATAGAACGTTATCAAATCAGCCACGGTGTCGAAGGCTTCATCCTCGAATTGATACTGCGCTCTCTCGTAAACTGTTTCCGGCTGGAGGACAACCTTTAAAGGAGAGAAAATTATTAATCGGAATTGATCGTAGTTGGAAAATTAATTTCAGTATGTGAACACTGAATGATTACATCTAATCATTAGACATAATTGGTATTGGTAGTTTTTAGAATTCTCGGAAATAGTGTAATTCAGGGAATTTGAAGAGAAGTAATTTACGGATGGCTGAGGAAAAGTTCTTACTCTGTTGATAACGAAATGAAGAGCTTGTCCCTTGCAGCGAACAGTGAGAACGTAGTTGCCGGGTTGGGATGCACAGTCTCGAACTAGAAAGTCACCCTCGTTTGGTACTTCAGCTTCAGCCCCTTTGCGACCTCCACGAAGTGTGCTGCCATGGTACCAGGCATGAGAGCGCAAATCTCGAGGATCCAATAGCCGAAGTTCCCTTTCCAAGAGTTTACGCAATGTTTCTTCAGACTGATCCTGAAATAAAAATTTTTTATCTAGTTCGTCTTTTGTTATCTAGTTTCTCGAATTTTCATCATCATCATCCTCCACAGCATCTAAACTTGCAGTAACATTTGCAACATTGTTGCAAGCTTCAAAATATTATGACAATTTTGTTAATATTGCTGCAACTTTAGATGCTCTGGGAGATCCAATGCTGAAGATTCAAAAGAATATTCATCTAATAATAAAGATTCAAAACAATATTTATCAAATGGTAAAGATTCAAAACAACATTTATCAAAGAGTGATTAGAAATTGCACGAATAGAGAACATTTACATTTTTCCACGATTAGTTCAACCAAAACTTAAATTCCACAAAATAAAATTTGTTTTTTTTGAGTCGATCAAATTCAAAAATAAAGTTTAATTCCCTAAAAATAATGTCCCTCTAATAACAGACATTTTTTTCCTCCTAATAAATGCAGTGCATTAAATCACTCATGAAGAAGAATGTAAATAATTATTAAAGGAGTTGACGTGCATAAGACACTCGATTCGTAATTATATCAATCAGTAGTAGAGAGGGAGAGAGAGAGAGAGAGTAGAAGAGAAAGAGAGCATGTGTTCATCGGTTCAATGAATGCAACCTTGACTAAAGATACATATGAATCCCAATGCTTCCGACGTTCTTATAATCCAACAAACCGTGGAATGTTATTCTGCCTTGAGAGTGCGTGAGCTCATATTGTACAAAATGACAGTGGTTTATATTCAGGTTTTGGGGAAAGAGGGACTTTCAGCGAGCGACAAACCCACTTTTGTCATGAGTCACGTGCTTCACTTGTGCTTTTCATACAACTCACAAATGGAACGAATTCCTCTTTTTTTCCATTAAAAAAAGACGAAAATTAGGTGTTAAATTGTTAAAATACAAAGAACTATTAGGTGATAAATCTAAAATGATGATGATAACAATAAAAGTAGTAGCAATAGCGGTAGGAGTAATATTTGTTGTAGTAGTAACAATAGTAGTAGAAATAATAACAAAAATAACAGTAAAAGTAGTAAAAATAATTAAAAAAATAATATTAACAATAGTAGTAAAAAAAATAATAATAACAGTAGTAGTATTAGTAATGCTAGTAATACAACTAGTACAGTACTAGTAGTGAAAGAATTAAAACAGTTTTACAGTAAAATAATGCTTCAAAAGATCATTTTGAATTTCGAATGAAAAATTTTAAAATTTGATCATATAGATTTCTTTTGTTTCGATACAGTAGAAAATTTTCTATCTCCATACCGTTTTAAAGACCCGGGAGTGATTTGGGTTTAATTATGAATCCATAAAGAAAACTGGTTTAAAATTCTCAGTTCCCTGAGGTTTTTGAGTAATTGATTGAAGAGAGCTACCTCTACGCCCACTGTGAGACTCCTTTTCGTCTCTCTTTCCATCTCTCGATTTCTTCGTCTATAAAGTATAATTATCGCAAAGTTTATTTTCTCCCATTTCCTGTATCGGAGACTGGATCAATTAAGAAACTCTAAGATCCTCTCGACTTGTTAGAAAAAAAGTTCAAAAAAAAACATAACAAAGATTACATGGTTATTTTACACCTTATATTTCGAATAATGTCTGAAATATTCATTGATCATTGACCCCTTGTTTTTCCTTTGTTCATTCCGAAGGATTACAACTTTCACCACCTATGATAGGATGATTCCATTTGTAATTGTATTATTAATTTTGATTCTTAAAATATTATTATTCTAGCATATATTGGAGCATGTAACTATAAAGAAGAATAATATTTGCACTATTGTGGTATTGTTATCCGTATAGCATTTGAACTTAAGGTAATATTGTCACAATATAGTCACAAGTAATGTTGCCACAGTATTCTAATAATGCAGGAATATTGTATATGATAAAATGTATGCAATGTTTAATAGATTGAAGAAGCAATTTTATTTATATTGATGTAGGTTCAGGTGCGCTAGGGGTATATTGCTGTAACTGTACTTCGATTTAATACTATTATATTAATGCTACTAATATTAGAACAAAACAATTTCGATATTGAACTGTAGTATTATACCACAAGTACCAACGAGCACCAAAAATGAAAGCAATAATGTTCACAAAAAATTATTTATGCAATATTACTGCAGCATTAGTGGTATAATATTATTAATGCTGTAAGTCTAGGAGTTTTTTGGCAGTACTGAATTCAATGTTGCTGCAGCTTTTCTCTAAAATTGAGATTATTTCTCCAATGTTGCTGCAATATTAATATATTTAAGCATTGTTGTTAATTTTGCTGTAGCCCTTCCTCAATTTTGACAATATTTTCGCAATATTGCTGCAGTATTAGAATATTTAAGCATTGTTGTTAATTTTCCTGTAGCTTTTCCCCAATTTTTGCAATTATTTCTCCAATGCTGCAGCAGTATTAGAATACTGAAGCATTATTGTCGATTTTGGTACAACTTTCCTCCAAATTTTTCTTTGGAATTTTATTTAATCTAATTCTAATTTACAAAAGATAAATATTACTCTCGACCAGCAACATCATCATAATCTAAAATTGCATCAATATTTTCGACTGTACCAGAAATGTTATCATTATTTCTGTAAAATTGCTTCAGCACCAGAATATCGATAACAAATGTTACCAAAATTGCTGCACGTTTAAGTGCCATGCAGAATAATATAATGTAATATGCAGCATATTATCTAAAATTCAGTTCATATTAAATTTACCATTTCACATATTGAATTTACCATTGCAGATATTAAATTTAATATTTCATATATTAAATTACTATCCAATGTCAAATGCATAGTACAACGCATAATATTACAATGCACCTTTACAATACAACAATGTATAATCACTAAAGAAGTCACGAATGATTATTCGATTCAACTATGTGAGAATATCAACACCTAAGGATGATGAGTAACTTTTAAATCGACAAGAGATGATGAAGATTTTTAAATGCTTCTTTAACCTATATACAGATTTTGATCACTAATGCATAACAAGCAAAATATAATAACTAAGATGTATAGAATAAAATACAGTTTATACAATCTAATACAATATAATGCAATGCAGTGCCAATGAAAAAAAGGAAATAAGGACAATAAAGATTAAAATGTAACAATAAGAATTACCATTTTTGAGTTGTTTTCCTCAGGCCTTTTTGGCAAGGGTCTCGATCGAAAAAGACATGCGTCGTGCCCCTCTCTTTTTTCTTGTTCCTTCACCTTTTGGTCCTTTTCCTCCTCCTCCTCCTTGTTCTCCGCCCCGGTGATTCTACGAGTATAAAATAGTATCACCGGTACCACACTGCACACTCATCACGACAAATTAAAAAAGTAATGTCTCGATTTTTAATATGTCACCAATCAAGGAAAATTGAATAAAATCAACTAATATCATGGATGAATTTTAAATGAAACGAGGGGTGGGGTTTTTCTTTTTTTGAACTCTCACGCCCTGTCAAGAAAACAACAACAACAAACAAGAGGATAGGGTTTGACCACGGCTCTCGCCGAGCGCGCGCGCCCTACTGAACCATGTTCATATTCCACGAGCCCTCGCGACTATCAGGAACGTAATATTCTCAGGCGCGAGAGACATTCACCGCATTCGTTGCACGATTCAAGATGCATCAATTTTCTTTAATTTTACAAAAAAAACACTGATTAATTAATAAACGAATTTCAAATGTCTTTCGTAATTCAAAAATATTCTACAAAATTATTTCTTTAAATTTTCATTTTTTTTCAAAAAAAATTGGATAATTGAAGAAATTTTTCCTTTTTTTTAATTCGATTTTCTTTTTTTCTACACGGGGAGGGAAAATTGAAAATTTTTTCCAAATTTCGATGTAGGATATACTTCACTGAATTTAGGAGAGTCCTTTTGTTATTCACCGTATACGCTTGCGTCAAGTTTGCCGGTTCTATTATATATTCTCTTCTTCTTTTTTTTTAGGGACTTTTAAAATGATCACTCATCGTGCGGTGAACTCGATATGTATTTAGTCACGGTGAGAAATTCCTTTTTTAAAACACGTCTTCTTCGATTCGACAAGTTGAATATACCCTTCATTCTTGACACTTTAAACAGTGATTCACGACGTGCGGTGTATGTGGAAAGAAAGTTATTGATCTCAAAATTGTGTAGAGAGTAGGGAATATATATATTTATGGTGTGGGAGCGAGGGGTTGATGCGCTTGCGTATCGTGAAACTACTGTTCGATAAGGGAGAGTAAGATGCACGCGCGTGCACGTGCATTTTTTTTATTTCATTTTGCCGGCCGGTTCTGTCAGAGCGAGAGCAAGAGAGAGAAAGAATGAGATAGAGGGAGAGAGAGAGACCCTTTAGACTTGAATGAAAGACTTATACATTTCAGTGCCTATTCATGTGGGTGATATTGCTAGTTATGAAGCAACACCACAAGGGGGTTACCCGCGAAAAGTTATATACGCTTCATGTTGAAAGGTTGCTATTTTTAACATTTAAAAAAAGAGAGAAAATGCCCTAGACATTTTTCAAGTGGTTTTTTCTCCTTTTTTTTGTACACAGAGTAAAGATGTGTGCCTCTTGATAAGAATATGAAAATGAGTATATGAATGGAAGTTTAATTATTTTTGTTTTCTCTGGCAAAAATATTATTTTTTCCTTATTATTATTATTATTTTTTTAAGCTTGTCTTTTAAGGGTTGATGAAATTTATAATTATACGAATAAAGTATTAAATTTTGGAAATTTAGTATACTTATTACGAGTGTAGTATAAACTTTTAATTTAGTGTTATCCACTAAATATCCAATCAAATATAGACCTCTAGAAAAAATATTAATTAACTTTTAAATAATTAAAATATTCTTATAAATATAGATAATATTTTCTGAAAAAACAAAAGTATCATAGTAAGTTGTTTAACGTCTGAGTGGTTTTTATAATAAGACAGAAAAAACGAAGACATTCAGTCAAAATAATGTCAAAATAATGAAATAATAAAAAAAATAATGAATGTCTTCGTTTTTTCTGTCTTATTACAAAAGTATCAATTTTCAAGAAAAAATATTGTCAATCAAAAAACTTTTTTATTTAAACAATATCAGGGTTGACATAAGTCAAGAAAAGTAGAATTGGTCACGAAAATCAGGGAAAAGTCAGGGATTTTTATTAAAAGTACTGAAAAAAATTAAATTTTTAGAATTCATAAGAAAATTGTGAATTGTTGTGTCGTGTTTGTTTGCCTCATATAAACTAATAATTGAATTTTAAAAGAGATGCTTTTACAATTTTATAAAATTTCAAATTTTTAATTTCAATTTCTAATTTAATATTAAAAATTTTAATGAACTTAGATTTTAGAAAAATTTTAATAAATTCAAATTCTTTTAAAATTAGTTAAATTTTTCAATAATATATATTTAATTAATTAATAAAAATAATGAATTTACAGAAGAATTTCAGTTAAAAACACGAACAAAAATTGAATTTTGGAAAAGTTAGAAATAATTGGAAAAATCCAGTTATTTTTCAAAAGCAATAAAAATCTACGCAGAAATTCAATTATGTTGAAAAATTAAAAAAAAATTCTTGTCAAAAATACTATTAGCTTTATAAATAACAAAACTCTTCTCCAAAGTTCAATTATTTTCAAAAATTTTATAAAAATTTTTGGCAAAATTTCAATTATTTTTAATAAATTCTCTCAATTCAATGATTTTCAATATACAAATGAATTCAATTACCTGATTAAAAAATTTTTGATAAAATTTTACGCAAACTTTTGATTATTTTCACAAATAATAAAAATTCTGACAGGAATTCAATTATTTACAAATTTTTATAAATTTCTTCACAATAATTCAATTATTTTCATAAATTATAAAACTCGTCGCAAAATTTCAATAATTTTTTTATTCAATTTTAATTGAATTCTTCAAAACATGTAATTATTCTTGAAAATTTTATTAAAATTCGTCGAAAGAAACCATTATTTTATAGAAACATTCAATTATTCAATAAATAAATGATTTTTGTATTTAAATAATTGGATTCTTGTAAAATTTAATAAAAATACTCGAGGCAAAATTTACTAGAGAATTGTGTCATTTTCTAAATTTTTACTCGATATATTGGATTCGCAAATTTTTATTTTTAAAATCCGATGATGTTAACTTTGTAATTGATGACCTTAAAAACCACTGACAGTAACAAATTTCAAGCAAATTTAATGAATTCAAATATTTTAGCAGCCCTGTTAGATACACCATTTTGAATTTTAAAAATCCGATGTTAAATTTGTAATTAGTGACCTTAAAAATCCCTAAATAACAATTTTCAAGCGAATCAAAAAGATTTACAATAAGTTGGCTGCCATATTGTTTCCGCCATTTTGTAATTTGAAAATTTGATAATATATTCATAATTAGCGCTCCCAAGGAACCCTGAGTAACGAGTTTCAAAACAAATTTAATTAAATTAAAATATTTTAGTAGCCATAGTGGATCCCCCATTTTGAGTTTTTTCATTCTAAGTAGCCATATTGGAACCGCCATTTTGAATTTTTTAAATCTTCTCAATTTTCTTGGAAATTTTTACTCGGACGTTTTTTTGCTCGCTGATTATAAATCTGAGATCAGAAGTTAAAAAAACCAAAATTTGCTGTTCCAAAATGTCGGAAGAAGTAAAAACAGTAGTCGCGATTAGATTTGCTTAAATATTTTTGCTAGGAAAGTCTTATTGTTTCTAGTTTAAAAAATCGATTAGATTCGTTTAAAATTTCTTATTTGGAAATTTTTTTGCTCGCTGGTTACCAATGTTGTATTATAATATATAAATTCAAAATGGCAGGTGCAATATGGCTGACAAATTTTAAAAAACCAACTGAATTCGCTAGAAAATGAATTAAAGTATATAATCTGCAACGCTTTAATCCATCGAAGGATTATTTTTTCAAAATGTTTTAAAAATGATTTTGCTTTGATTTAGAAAAATTTTTTTCATGGTAAAAATTAATCCAAAAATTGATTAATTTATTATTTCTTGGTGTTAATTTAAGCTGCAACGCTTATTTTTAAATTTTTAATACCTCACATAATTTACTGTGATTTTATTAAAAAATTTTTACTGTTTCTGATTTAAAAATTGAGTTTTTTTTTAATTTATAATTCGAATTTTTTTTCGCTCGTTGTTTATAAATCTAAGATTAGAACGAAAAAATTCAAAATTGCTGACAAATTTTTAAAACAATTTAAAAAATTTTAATTTGCTTGGAAATTTTCTCATGGTTATTTTCTATAGGTCGCTGATTACAAATCTGATGTTAGAATTTAAATCTCACGAAGCCATTACAGTTCAATTTTATTTAACTTTTCTGAAATATGTAATTTTCTTCTCTTATAAAGAATATATTTTTGTTTTAATTCAATACAATAATAATTGAATTACAATGCAATTTAAAATTCAACCAAAAAATACCAATTAAAAAAAAAAGTAATATAAAAATAAAAAAATACCAAGTAAAGAAAAATAATTAAAATCCAATAAATTAATTTCACGAAAATCTTTTGTAATAACTTATCGATTAACTAAATATAACAATGTATATAATAAAAAATTAAGAGAAATTCAATCGAAAATATAATTTCCACAGAATAAATGTGTAGTAATACGGTGGCTAAAATCAAAGGAGGTCGCCTCATCAGCTGAAATAAATGTCCGCTTTACTATGGCTTTTATAGCTTCGTAAAGGCGTATACGATGGCAAATTTAACGCGTTGCAATTGCACTATAACCGAGACATATAAATGTGTATATGAAAATTTTTCAAATGTATACGTATATATGCACATTGTGCATATAGTTACGCACATCCTAGAAGTATCTCCAATGATTGTACATCTCGCTTGTTCGCGTTTGTGGTATGCGCCTTGGGCAGCGTAACGGAGCATGGAATGCCGCGGGTGCATTTTCTTGGAAACAAGAGATTTTATATATATATATATATATATATATATATATATATATATATATATATATATATATATATATATATATATATATATATATATATATATATATCTTGATCGACAATTTATCACGACTATAAGCAGCAGTAATCTTCGAGTAAAGTTAAAGAGAAAAACATCCTTTTTTTATTATTTGCAAAAGTCATATTTTACATTACGAAAAGTATCTAGATATAGTGTATATAATTTATGCCCCTTATTAAAAAGTAGAAAAATTCCTCCATATTGTAAATAGTGAGAAATTTATAATTGGTCCT